TCCTCCCTTCCTTCCTTCCTTCCTTTCTTTTTTTCCCCCATACAAGGTTTTTCCTGCATGTCCTAGAACACACTCTGTAGACCAATCTGTCTTCAAACTCAGAGATCCACCTTCCTCTGCCTCCCCAGTACTGGGATTAAAGTCATGTGCCACCACCCACAGCAGTACTACATTTTCTTTATCTATTCTTCTGTTGAGGAACATCTACGTTGTTTCCATTTTCTGCCTATTATGAATACAGCAGTGATGAACGTGGTAGAGCAAGTGTCTCTGTGGTAGGATGAAAGTGTCCTTTGGGTATATGCCCAAGAGTGGTACAGCTGATCTCGAGGTTTATCAATTTCAGTTTTCCTAAAGAATCACTACACTGATTTCCACAGTGGCTGTACAAGTTTGCCCTCCCATGAACAAAAATGAAGTGTTCCTTCACATCATCTCCCACAGGAGCTATCTTGTGCTATTGATCTTATCATTGCTGACAGGCACAAGATGGAATCTCAGAGTTGTTTTAATTTGCATTTCTTCAAGTGTTTCTCAGGCATTTGAGTTTCCTCTTTCGCAAATTCTCTGTTTAGATCTGTATCCCAGTGTTTTTTTTGGGTTGTTTTCTTGATATCCAGTTTTCTGGATTCCTTATTTATTTTGGATATTAGCCCTGTATCAGATGTATACTTGGTAAACATCTTTTCTAATCTGTCTGATGTTGATTCTCTCTCTCTCTCTCTCTCTCTCTCTTTTCAAGATAGAGTTTATCTGTGTATCCTTGGCTGTCCTGGAACCCTCATTGTAGACTAGGGTGGCATGGAACTCAGAGATCCACCTGTCTCTGCCTCCCAAGTGGTGGGATTAAAGGCCGCCACTCCTGGTTTTTCTCTCTTTCTTAGGAGCAAGGCTTGCCTGGAACTCACTGAGTTCTGTGTCTGGGATGTACCTACTGAGTGATGGGATAAGGAGTAGGCTACCACGCCCAATGTAGTTTTTTTTTTTTATTTTATACAACTGTGTGAGCATATGCCTTGTTCTTTCAAGTAGCATAGGATTCCTGAAAGCTGGAGTTACAGACCATTGTGAAACATGGCCCACTCCACAAAGTGGGTGCTGGGACCCCAACACTGGTGTCCTCTGGAGGAGCAGTAAATGCTCTTATACACTGAGCCATCTCTCCAGCCTCTTTTTTTGTGTGTGTGTGTGTTTTTTTCTCTCCACAATTCCCTTCCCTGAGATGGTAACATGGAGAATTGCGGATGGCCTTTTTTAGGACCCTTTAAATTAAGCTACATTTTGTTCTGGACTCTTTAGGTAACAGCTTGCTGTGGGATCGACTCTTTCATTAGCAGCGTGCAGCAGGATCGTGAGCAACAGCTCTGACACTCCTGAGTGGGCCTAGGTAAGTAAGCCTTATTTCCTTGTAGTTGTTTTATTAAGTGAATGTATGCACTGGATATAAGAAGGACCAAATGGAGTAGACTCATGGGACCCCTGGAATGAATGGTAGAACAAATGACCAGGAAAGAGTAAAATGAAGAGAGCTGAGGGTGAGCTGGCCCCAGTGCAGTTGCTTTGGTAGAGATCGGCCCTGGAATGCTCGAATCCTTGGCTTGTTCCCCAGCCAGGCTAAACTGAGCATGGTGGAACACTTCGATAATTCCAGCAACTCAGGTGGTGGATCCAGAGGATTAGGAGTTTGAGGCCATCCTTAACTACTTAGTGAATGTGAGGCCATCCTGGTCTATATAACAGACACCCTTTTCCCAAAAAAGAAAATATATTTTTTAATTAGTACGTGTTTGTAGAAAGCAATAGTCTTCACTATGGCATTTAATAGAGGCATATATAATGTCCTCTTAACATTTTTGCCCCATTTATCTTTTTATTGTTTGAGAACCTCAGACAAGCATGTAATAATTTTGACCAAATCCACCCCGGTTTCCCTTCCCTCCAGTTCCTCCCCTATCCTCTCCACCATTTTTCCATCCCAACTTCAGATGTACCTTAAGAAAAGCACACTCGCCATTCATCTACATCCTCTGTCCCAAGAAGCTCTTCCCTTCCTCTCCCTTGGGAGTCTCTTGTCTACTTCAAAGCCCCCCTCCTTTTTTTTAAAAAAAAATGTAGATTCTGCACATAAGAGAACATATGAAATATATGTCTCTTGGTATCTGGTTTATTTTTGCTTAATGATTTGCATTTCAAATTTTCCTGCAAATAATGCAATTTTGTTCTTTTTGCCTGAACCAAGAGCCATTGTGTATATGTGCATTCATCTCTACACCTGTTTTATTTCACTACTGGCCTGTACTTGCACACTTTTTGGTAAAAATTCATAGGCGTTCGGGCCCCATGTTGTATGCTGACATTGATTCCTTCAGATAGAGCTATAGCAGGATCACACTATAGTTCTCTTTTTTAGTTTTCTTTTTGATATTTATGTATTATGTGGATTTTTTCTTGTTTTTTGGTTTTCCAAGACAGGTTTTCTCTGTGTAGCCATGACTATTGTAGAACTCACTTTGTAGACCAGGCTGGTGAGAAACTCAGGGATCCATCTGCCTCCCAAGTGCTAGGATTAAAGGTGTGAGCTACCACCCAGCTATTACATTTTTTTAATTAGTTAAGGTTATTTTAATTTAATATTATTTATTTACTTATTAGGTTTTGGGAAAGGGTTTCTCTGTGTAGCCCTGGTTCTTCAGGAACTTGTTCTGTAGACCAGGCTGGCCTCAGTCAGATCCTCCTGCTTCTGTTTCCAGAGTGCTAGGATTAAAGGCGTGTGATACTATGACCAGCTACCTACCTCTGTGCTTTTGATTGGTATTTTTCTGATGACTAGAGATGTTAAACACTTTTCATGTATTTATTGGTAATTTGTATTTCTTTTTCTGGCTGTTGAATGCATTTGCTTATTCATTGATTGGATGCTGTTATGAATTATGCATGAGTGGGGAACCCAACGGTATCCTGTGTTGTGTGTGCAGGGAAACATGTGGGGCAGGTGCATGCCATTTAAGCATGGCAGCAGCGGCAGCCGTGGCCAGTAATTCACAACCCAGATGCTGCATCCACATGAGAGTTTATTATAATAGATGAAGAGAAGATAGGAAAGAGGGAGAGAAGAGAGAAAAAGAGGGAATGAGGAGGAGGAGGAGGAGGAAGAGGAGGAGGAGGAGGGAGGTCCAGGTTGTTCACCTCCTGGGAGGAAAAGCAGAAAAGAGAGAGGAAGAGGAGGAGTTTTTCCTTAGAATGAGGCTTTTATGTCAGGATGCAGGATGGCCCCAAGAGGTGGGATTTCAAGGGAAAGGAGGATTAGAATATTAACAGATACTATGTTCTGTTGTTTGCTGTTATTTGTTTTTGAGGCCTTTGCATATTCTGGATGTTGTGATCTCTTGTCAAAGAAAATAGCCGGCAATGATTTTTCTCCCATTCTCCAGGCCTTCTCTTCACTCCAGTCAGTGCTCTCTCTGCTGTTCAGAAGGGTAATTTTGGTGGCTTTGGAGCAGTTTGATTCTTCAGTTCTTACAGGTGAATCCTGAGTCATTAAAAATCACATCCTGATTCTAATGGGGGCATGATCTGGGTCTCATGGAGTCCTACCTCAAACTCTTGTCTCTTTAGTGGAGGATAACCTTGAAATTCTGGGTCTCCTGCCTCCACTTCCAAAGAGTTAAATTACATGTGCATACTACTTAGCACCTTTTATGAGGTGCTGGGGCCAGAGAGATGGTTGTTAAGGTCCCAGCACCTAAATGGTGGCTCACAACCCTCTATGAGTACAGTTCCGAGGGATCTGGCACCCTCTTGTGGTCTTCTTGGGCACTGTATGTAAGTGATGCACAGACAGGCAGGCAACAGCCACACACATGAAATTGAAAATAATTTTGAGGTTGAGTTTATTATGTAGCTGTCCTATTATGTAGCTTTTTTCTACTGGCTATGAGATCCTCCCCCCTCTCCAGTACTGAGATCAAAGATGTGTGTCACCACAGCCAGCCTAAAAATAAATCTTAAAAAGCAATTAAAGTTCCATATTTCTAGTTCTCATCTGGTATCTAACCGTCCTCTCCACATATCACTTCTCCTTGCAAACATATGTCCATGTTTTGTTTCAGATTCATAGAGAAGCAGGAAAGTTCTGGGTTTTCTACTCCACTAGATTTTGTTTTGGGTATTCCACCCCCCCCCCCAAAAAAAAAAACTTTTTTGTTGTTTTTTTGAGTCAAGGTCTTTCTACGTAGACCTGGCTGTCCTGGAATTCTGTATGTCTACCAGGCTGCCTTCAAACTCATGAAATCATCCAGCTTGCCTCCCAGCTCCTGGTTTAAATTATTTATTTTTATTTATTTGTTGTTTTGCCTGCATGCATGGCTGTGAGAGGGTATCAGATCTTGGAGTTACAGACAGTTGTGAGCTGCCATGTGGGTGCTGGGAATTGAACCCGGGTCCTCTGGAAGAGCAGTCGGTGCTCTTAACCACTGAGCCATCTCTCCAGCCCCCAGTTCCTGGTTTAAACGTGTGTGCCATGCCTTGCCTGTGGAGTTGGAGTTTTTAAAATTCTATTTGTTCGTATATGCTTGTGTTCTTGCACACCAGAGCTGAAGTGGGTATGTCAGAGAACAGTTTGCAAGAGTCGGTCTCTTATTCCACATGTGGGTGCAAGGGATGAACCTGGGGTTGTCAGGCTTGGCTGCAAGCACCATTAACCCTCTTGCCAGCTGTGTTTAGTTTCTGACACTGGTCTACTGTAGCCTAGGTTAGCTTCAGGCTGAATCCCTTCCCTTCCCTCTTTGGTTTGGGTTCTGTTTATCTCTCTTCTTTTTCTTTTTCTTTTCTTTTTGTTGAGATTGTGGTCTCACTACATACTCCATTCTTGCCTCACACATGTCCATGTCTTGGTTTAGCCTCTCCAGTGCTGGAGTTATAATCATTTTGGACACTGTGAAGATTTGTCACTGTGATTGGTTTAATAAAGACGCTGACTGGCCAATAGCTGACCAGAATCAGGTTAGGCAGGAGAGCCACACTAGGAGAATGCTGGGAGAAAGAAAGATTGAGTCTGGAGTCACCAGCCAGCTAGAGATGGAGTCGATGAACCTGCCATGTTAATAAAGTTACCACCCCATGGCAGAGAGTAAATAAGGAATATGTGTTAACTTAAAATGTAAGAGCCAGTTAGAAATAAGCCTGAGCCATTGGCCAAGCATTTGTAATTAATATAAGTCTCTGTGTGTTTATTTGAGAGTGGCTCTAGGACAGGAAACCTCTGCCTACATATATACAGTCACATAGAGCAGATTTGTTTGTGTGTGAGTCTAGGGATTGAATTCAGAGTCTTGTGCATACTGGATGCTTTAACCACTGAGCTGTATCATCAACCTTTCATACATTGACATTTGTACTCCATGGTTTTTAATCATCTGACCATTGCAGGACTGAATATCTGGATCTGGAATCTGCAATCAAAAAGGTCAGCCCCAGAGGTGACCACTCAGGCTCATCTTCCTAACTGTTGCATTTGCACCAGAGACTAGAATCTGACCAGAACTTCATTGTCTGGGCATCATCAGGGCGACAGAGAAGAGCAGAGGCACCAGTGAGACCAGACGTGCACTGTCTCCACATTTCACTTGAGGTACTTGTAGTTTTCATTTCTCTTGCTGTGATAAAACAATCTGGAAAACAAAACTTAGAGAAACTTAGGAGGATGGGGAAGGTTTATTTCAGTCCACAGTCATAAGTTACAGTCCATCACTTCTGGTAAGTCACAACTGCAGGAACTTGAATCAGCTGGTCATATGATAGCCACAGCTAAGAGAAGAGAGAAAATGAATGTATGTGTAATCTTTCTCTCCTCTCATATCATTTAGTAACCCAAAGCAGGGAATTGTACCACAAGCTTTCATGCTGGGTCTTCCATATTAATTATGCAACCAAGACAATCACCCAGGACAACCTGATCTAGACAAAAACTCACTGAGACTCAATTTCCAGGTTGTTGTAGATTATGGCAAGTACACAAATAGAACTAACCATCACAATTAAACATTGGGACAGAAAAAGAGAAAGCAAACACACTCTGAGCGTGTCTTCCAGAGAATGGACACAGCTTCAATAGCTCAGAGGTTAAAGCGTGTACTTGAGAATGTAATTGAACAACTCAGTGGTTAAGAGCATACAGTGCTCTTACAGAGGACCTGAGCTCAAGTTTCTAGCCCCTCCACTGGGTGGACCAAAACTGTAATGCTAGTTCTAGGGGCTCTGATGCCCTCTTCTGGATTCTGAGGGCACTGCACTCACATGTGCACAAATGCACACACTTATACATAATTAAATAATTTTTATTTAAAGGATATAAGTAACTCCAGTTTCTGCTAATTGTAATTGATAAATCATAATTGTAAATATTTAAAGAAAATGTAAGCTTTCCCATATTGTAGTACTTGAGGCATGAAGAGAGAAATAAAAGCCAATTCTGGTCAGTTAGAGTTTTACAAAAAAAAAAACAAAACATTGTGATGAATACATTTTGAGTCACAGTCTCTGTGTGCATTGTGTTTTTTGTTTGTTTTTAGATTACAGGAGCTTTCTCTGTGAAGAAAGAATGGCTCCTCTGAAGATAAACGGCTTTGTCCAAATCCGAAGCAAGAACCGGAGCAAGCACACCCGGGCTTCTCAGTGGAAAGAAGCAGTCATCCAAATAGTAGAAAGAAAACAGAAGGTTAATCTGGTGGTTTCCTTGAAGTTGGAAGGAAGGAGCAGGGTTTTTCAGCTGGGTGATAATGTTGCAGGTGTAATGGTTAGTTGTTGTGAGACAGGAGAGCATCATCTGCATTTAACTCTGAAAGATGACACTTCCTTACTCATTGACAAGTTATCCTCTGTAGATGTTGAAAGGCTGAAGTCATTACTAGATTCTTTTCATCCATGTGAATCCCAACAGCTTGAGGAACCCAAGAGTAGTCAGCATGTTCTTGAGAGCAGTGATCCATTTTGCAGGAAGCACCAGGAGTCAGTTGCTGGGTCCCAGAATACTAAACAAGAAAGTGGAGCTCCGGGGCCCATGAAGATGCCACTTTTGTGGCCAAACTCCAGCAGCAGCCATGTTGAAAAAGAGAAAGTAGAAAAACCGAGCATAAAGAGGAAGAGAAAGTCAACACCCAGTGTAGAAATAATTGAGGAGATTCTCGAAGTAAATAATCCTGAACCAGAAAAGAAATCCAAGACCTATAACTCCAGGAATAAAAGATGCAAAGGAGAGAAACCAATGGCTTTAAGAGATCAGGAAAAGCTTAACATTTGGAAACTTGAACCTTCATTCAATACCAACACCTGCTGGAGGCCTAACCTAGATGACACTATTCTTCCAACACTAGCATGGTCTGATGAAAGTGGATCAAAGTTTAGCCAGGAAACCCAAACATATGACCTGCAGCCTCCTCTCGAGACTTACGCAAAGCAACTGAAACGTGAAGGCTTCCCCAATTTGGGAAATACCTGTTACATGAATTCCATTTTACAATCTGTCTTTGGGATTCCAACGTTTGCAAAGGACTTGCTCACACAAGGTATTCCATGGGAGAAAGTTTCCTATGATGATCTTATCAAGCCCTTAAGTCAACTGCTTGTCTTGAAAGACATCCGAGATATAGAGGTCAAGGGAGAGTTACTCATTAATGTCAAGAAATCCATCTCCACAGTTGCAGACACATTCTTGGGTGATGAACAGAATGATGCCCATGAATTTCTAAGTCAGTGCTTAGACCAGTTGAAACTGAACATGGAAAAACTAAATACCATGTGGCTCACTGAGATGGACAATGACGCTGAAGAATCATCTCTATCAACATATGATGAGAATGCCATCCCCAAAAGGTTTGTTTGTCCTGTCAGTGCTAATTTTGAAATAGAGCTGCAGAGCTCTATTGTTTGTGAGGCCTGTGGTGAGGCTACTCTCAACACTGAAGTGAGCAATTACCTCTCTGTTGACCTGCACCAAGGCACAAGAGAACAGCCTCTATCAATTCAAAAGTCACTTGATCTTTTCTTTACACCAGAAAAAATTGAGCGTAATTGTGCGAAGTGCAAGAACAAGAATTCTGTTCTCAAGTACACTTTGAAGAGGCTCCCCAGGGTCCTCATTGTTCATCTGAAACGCTACCACTTGACCCCTAATGGGTTGTTGGTGAAGAGTCAGCAGCCAGTTGAGATTTCTAAGTATCTAAATGTATCTTCCCACTTCAATGAAAACATAAAAGAACCACTTTCCTTGACCAGCAAGACATCTTATGAGGACTGTGATGTCCCAAATGTCTCTGAAGAGATGATGCCTGAGATCCTCAGCCAGCCAATACCATCTAGGAGTGTGAAGAACTATGAGAAAATTAACGTATATGGAACAGCAGATCGTCACACTACCACTGAGATGTTCAATTATTTTTATGATCTTAAAGAACAAATGATTCTGGAAGGATCTCAAGAAATGGCTGAACAGCTCCTCCAGAATCCTGGGACTAGATTCCACAAGGAATTCCTTCCTCAGGGATCACCTCAAAGTGTTAGGGATTTTGCAGAAGACACAGAGAAGGATATGAATACATCTTTAGATCTGAGAGATGACATAGATGATGAATACTCTCTTGGTGCATGGTGGAATCCTGAAAGCAGCAATTTTCTGGGAAGCAACTACCTATTGGATGTTATTGATGAGTCAGAAAGTATGGTATTTGGAGATGATCCTCAGAATTACAGACTGGTCAGTGTTGTCAGCCATTTTGGGAGCTCCCAAGATTCAGGTCATTATGTAAGCGATGTGTATGATTTTCAAAAGCAAGCATGGCTCCTGTACAGTGATGTCCAAGTGTTTGAGATCCCAGAGGCCTTGATTCAGGAGAATCGGCTTCACACTGGATACATTTTTTTTTACATGCGAAATGAGCTTTTTGAGTGGCTGTTGAAAAAGGCATCAGAGTGCAAGTTGCTTAACACACCTAAAGAGCAACAGAAGAATATGGATCTTTTCTCAACACTGCTTAATGGCTTTACATACTTCCTAGAAGAATCCTAAATTCTACCCATAAGGAAGACCCATCAAGCTCAACGGAAAACTCAGAAAACAAAACAGAACAAAACAAAACAAAACAAAACAAAACAAAACAAAACAAAAAACAAAACAGAACAAAACAAGACAAAACAAAACAAAACATAACAAAACAAAACAAAACAAAACAAAACATCACATCACATCACATCACATCATCACGTAATGAAACAAAACAAACAACATATTAGGACAGAAACCCATACATCCATGATGCAGGCTATATACCATTTTCTCCAACAAGGCTATAGTGATGCTTTTCATGTTTTTTTTTTTTATTTGTTTGCTTTTGTTTGTTTTGTGTTTGTTTTTGTTTTTGTGAGACAGTGTTTTTCTGTGTAGCTATAGCTGTTCTGGAAGTCACTCTGTAGAGCAGGCTGGCCCCAAACTCAGAGATATATCTTCCTCTGCCTCCCAAGTGCTTTGATCTATAAGGTGTGTGCCACTACTCCCCAGCGGCGGGAGGATTTTTTTAAAAATGATTTTTATTTTTATTTAACGTGTTTTGCCTGCATGTCTGTCTCTGTGAAGGTGTTGAGTTTTCTGAAACTGTTATTACAGGCAGTTGTGAGCTGCATGTATGTGCACCGAGCCTTCTCTCTAGCCCCTAGTGCAGTGGTGTTTTCAATGTCATTCTGAACCAATACAGCATAGCAAGGAACTGATGAAAGGTCAAATGTTAGTGTCCAACCTCATAATGGATTCAGAACCAATACTGATGGACTTAAAAGTTTGGGAAACAGTGTGTAAAATGTCTTATTTTGTTAGTGTATATATGAATTGCTCACGTCATCTGGAGGGTTTTCATGGTATTGTTTGCTTTCGCTGAATTCATGTATACCATTCTATTGCCAATTTATTAAAATCATTGTTTTCTATATGTGTTTGTGACTCGTTGCTGATGAATGTACCTAGCTGCTCACCAACTAACTGGTTTTGTGCTTCCTTTTCAGAATTGCGGGACATAGCATCAGGGTTACACAGGAAATGAAATAGAGAGTATGGTAAATTTTGCAAATTCAACAGCTCTCTAAGGGCTCCGTGGATGCAAACACCTGCCACCAAGGCTGATGACACCAGTCCTGCAAGCTGTCCTCTGACTCTAGAGGAGCCAGCACATGTGCACATATATGCGTAAATCAATGAGTGAAAAATCTAATAAGATTTTAAACCTCACTATGTAGTTCTCTCTGGCTTGAAATGCTCTTCGTAGATCAGGATACCATCAAACTCAGATTTGTACTTGCCTTGCCTCCTGAGTGCTGGTATTTAAAGTCTGGACCACAATGCCTAGCATAATAACATTTTTAAAGCACTCTTTTAAAAAAATTTTGAAGTGCCAAATATACTTCTTACATTCAAATCCTGATGATATGAGCAAATGGAGGGGTTCAAGGGACAGGGGGTCTGAGACAGACAGTCCTTTAGGTGAGAGCCTCCTATATTAGCACAAACTGCATGGTGGGGTTCTAAAGAGAACATTTTAGTTCATAAGACAAAGCAAGGTTCCCCTTAGTTCCCAGGAGTAGGAAGAGATCCTGTGCCATGAAGCAGCAGACTTCCTTAATACATAGCCCAAAGGACAGACTTGTTTTCAGCCTGTTAACCTGATTCCTGGGTAGCAAGGGGAGAGGGAAACCAGCTGGGGTTGCTGGCTATGAGGGGTGCAGCCTGATCTGAGATACCCACACCACATCTGTTTCAGACACACAAAAACATAGTACTGATCCTCTGAAGGGGCTGGGGAGATAGTTCAGCAGGTCAGCGCACTTGCTCTGTCGGCAGGAGTACCTGAGTTCAAATCCCCAGCACCCACATAACAAGCTCCTCATTGCTGTGTGTGCCTGTGACTCAGCACTGGGGAGTAGACAAGGGTGGATTCCACAGCTCACTAACCATTCGACATGGCCACAATGGGAAGTGTAAGGTTCAGGTGTGGGACATTCACCAGAGAAAACTGCTGGGCCGATGTGCTAAGGTCTGGGGCCCTGTTCACAGTTAGATTGTATTTCAAAAAGGAAACATGTGGAAAGTGATAGAAAACACTCCATGTCCTCTGGCCTTCACATGTACAAGCTCACAGGTAAAAACACCACACAAAGGATATTTTCCCAATTCCTCATTTGGGCTGCAGAAAGGGTTAAGCTCACTTGCTACACTTTTAGAGGATCAAGGTTCTCTTCCCAGAATCCACATGGTGGTTTCCACTCTCTGTAACTCCATATCCAGAGGATCAAATGCCCTCTTCTGGTTTTGTGGTATGCAGACAAAACACCTCTACATTATAGCACTGCCCACTTCCACCATCAAAAAGGTACAATATAGTCTTGTGGCTAAATCTAAAGAGCTTACAAAAATTCTCAGTATTATACTGTTTCAGAACATTTACAAACGTTAACATTTTGAGGGTATAAAAAGTCTAAAAGCCTGATAATGTATAAAATATGGGGCAAAATTAAGTGAGGGTGGTAGGCGAAAGAAAGGAATAGTCTAGAACAGTGGTTCTCAATACATTTGGGTTCAATACAATAAATTAGCAAAATTACTGTTATGAAGTAGCAATGAAAATAATTTTTATGGTTGAGGGGGGTCATCACAGCATGAGGAACTGTATTAAAGAAAGTGTTGGTATATTTGGAAGGTTGAGATCCAGTGGTCTAGAACATCCTTATGATCTGACAGATAATTCTTTGTTCATTTAAAAGAAGGAAAATTTAAACATTTATTCATGTATTTCATGTATATGAGTGTCTGTCTTCACACTTAACAGAAGAAGGAATCAGATTCCATTACAGATGGTTGTGAGCCACCATGTGGTTGCTGGGAATTGAACTCTGGAAATGCAGTCAAGTGCTCATAACCTCTGAGCCATCTTTCCAGCCCCTTCAATTTTTTTTTTTTTTTTTTTTTTTAGGAAGAGTCTATATTTGCTTCCATATATCAGATCTTGAAAGGAAACAAAATGAACATAGTGAACAGGAATTTTCAAAGTGGATGAGTTTACACTGAGGCCAAGGGAATGGACAAAATTAAGTGCTTTATAAACATGAAAAAGTCACAGTGAAACACATTTTTGTACAATTGATACAAGCATTAAAAACTTCCCCCATGGTGGTGGGCCAGTTTTTTTTTTTTAAACTTCCATGGATTTGTGGCTTTTCAAAGTTTTCTTTGTTTCTTTTTAATTTTTTAATTTCATTTTACATACTAACCACAGATTCCCCTGTCATCCCCTCCCCTCCAACCCACCCCTCATCCCTTCCTCCTACAGGGTAAGTTCTCCCATGGGGGGAAAGCTAAGCCTGGTACATTCACTTGAGGCAGAACCAAGCCCCTCCCAACTTCATGGGGGGGGCGTGAGCAAGGTGTCTGGCCACATGTAACAGGGTCCAGAAAGCCAGCTCATGCACCAGGAACAGATCTTGATCAAACTGCCAGGGGCCTCAAAATAGATCCCACTACACACAACCGTCTGCTGTGTGCAGAGGGCCTACTCCAGTCCCATGGAGGCTCCACAGCTGTTGGTCCACAGTTCATGAGTTCCCACTAGTTTAGTTTGGTTGTCTCTGTACATTTCCCCATCATGATCTTAATTCCCTTGCTCATATAATCCCTTCTCCCTCTCTTCGACCGGACTCCTGGAGCTCAGCCTGGTGCTTGGCTATGGATCTTTGCATCTGTTTCCATCAGTTACTGGATGAAGGCTCTATGATGACAATTAGGATAGTCACCAATCTGATTGTTAGGGTAGGCCAGTTCAGGAACCCCCTCCACTATTGCTAGTAGTCTAATCTGGGGTCGTCTTGTGAATTCCTGGGAATTTACCAAGCACCAGGTTTCTCCCTAACCCCATAATGTCTCCTTGTATCAAGATATCTCTTTCATTGTTCTCCCACTCTGTCCCTCCCCCAGCTCGACCATCCCATTCCCTCATGTTCTCATCCCCCATCCTCTACCCTCTATTGCACACCCCCACCTCATCCCCAGTTTACTCATGGAGATCTCTTCTGTTTCCCCTTCCCAAGGTGATCCATAAATCCTTCTTAGGATCCTCCTTGTTTCCTAGCTTCTTTGGACCTGTGGGTTGTAGTCTGATTATCCTTTGCCTTACATCTAGTATTCATGTGTGAGTGAGTACATGCCATGTTTGTATTTCTGAGTCTGGATTACCTCACTCAGGATGATATTTTCTAGTTCTATCTATGTGCCTACAAATTTCATGATGTCATTGTTTTTTTACAGCTGAGTAATACTCCACTGTGTATATGTACCACATTTTCTTTATCCATTTTTTTTTTTTGGATGAGGGGCATCTAGGTTGCTTTCAGGTTCTGGCTATTATGAATAATGCTGTTATGAACATAGTTCAGCAAGTGTCCTTGTGTTACGAGCATCCCTTGGCTATATGCCCAATTTTTTTAAGTGTCAGAAAACTGATGTCATAGCTCCTTTGGTAGAGTGCTTAACCAACATAGAGGAATCCCTGGAATCCACTTTCACCACCACATAAGCCAGATATGATGGCACAAACTCATAATCACTGCATTTAGGAGATGGAGGCAGGAGGACCAGGAAGGAGTTCAAGGTTTAGTAATGAGTTTGAGGACAACCAGGGCTACATAGACTTCATCTCAAATAATGAGGTCAGGGTATTGTAGGGTTTTTGTTTTGTTGAGAAAGTGTTTCTCTGTGAAACAGTCCTGGCTGCCCTGGAACTCACTCTGTAGACCAGGCTGGCCTAGAACTCACAGAGATCCTCATGCTTCTGCCTCCTAAGTACTGGGATTAAAGGTGCACACCACCCCTGCCCGGATCTAACATTTCTCTATTTCTGTATATCTTTTCTTTCCTTCTTATTGTGTGACTGACTGTAAGGATGGGTGGCTGCCCCCTGTTATCCTCCTCGCCTCCTTCTTCTCTTCCCTCTCATTATTCTTCCTTCTATTTACTCTTTTTTTTCCCAGCTAGCCCCATCTATTCTTCTGACTAGCTATTGGCTGTGCAGCTCCTTCTATGCAGACCTGGCTGTCTAGGAATTCTGCTTGTCACCCAGGCTTGCTTCAAATTCACATGGATCATCCTGCTTGGCTCCGAAGTGCTGGGATTAGAGGTTTGTGCCTTGCATTGCCTGTGGAGTTGGTTCTTTAAATCATATTTATTTATTTGTAAATGCCTGTGTTCTTGCACACAACAGCTAGAGTGTGTAGGTCAGAGAACACTTTGCAAGAGTAAATATCAGTACACACGTGGGTGCGAGGAACCAAACTCAGGTTGTGACGCTTGGCAGCAAGCTCCCTTTAACTATAATGGCAGGTGATTGACACTGGTCTAGGTAACTACTATAGAGCTATAGTAATAAAAACAGCATAGTATTGGCATAAAAAGGAGGATCAATGGAATAGAATCAAAGACCCTGACATCAATCCACACACCCACGAACACCTGATTTTTGACAAAGATGCCAAAATTATACAATGGAAAAAAGAAAGCGTCTTCAACAAATGGTGTTAGCATAACTAGATGTTGGCATGTAGAAGATTGCAGATAGATACAGATCTATGGCCATGCACAAAACTCAAATCCATGTGGAACAAAAACCTCAACATAGATGCAGGTATACTTAACCTGATAGAAGAGAAAGTAGGAAGTAGCCTTGAATGCATTGACACAGGAGATCACTTCCTGAGAATAACAGCAGTAGTATAGACACTGAGCTCGATAAATGGGACTTTTTGAAACTGAAAACCTTCTGTAAGGCAAAGGAGACTGTCAATAAGACAAAACATCTGCCTTAGAATGGGAAAAGATCTTCACCAACCTCACATCTGACAGAGGGTTGATCTCTAAAATATATAAATAATACAATAAACTAGACATCAA